CTCTCTCTCTCTCTCTCACACACACACACACACACACACACACACACACACACACACACACACACACCCCTGCAGCAGCAGGGATCAAAACCAGAAACTGTTGCATGTATGCTATGCTAGGAAAGTACTCTACCACTGAGCTCACCACCCCTTTAGGGTGATTACTTCCTAAGCCTTTGCTATACCAGGAACAGCCCTGAAATTATTAGTAAGATATTTCCAGTGAGCAGATCTGTAAAGTGCATCACGTGCTAATGATGCCTTTGCATGGCCTGGACTGAAAGATCCAGAGAGCATTTTGTCTGAGCAAATCTATGATATGATTCAATCTCACCGTTCTTAGGGACTAAGCTTTTTAAAGGACCTTAGCATATTGCCTTCATCGTGCTGAGCAAACGAAAGTGGGTAATTTCACTGTCTCCTTTATTTATGACCCCAGCCTATAGGGTCCTTATCATCATAGTGATAACATAATCTTCAGAGATAAAAACCTAAAAGGTAGATGAGGAGACACAACAGAAGCATTACTTTCTCATTTATTCCTCCCGATTCTGCCTTCAAATTCAGAACCCAGATGCTGAGAGAACAGGTCTGCCCTCCTCCACCCCCCCACATACACATCCTCCCATGTTGATGGGCGCAAGGTATGACCCCAGTGAAGTTTGCCAGGGTTCCCACACCACCACGATACACTGGCCTTTCTTTTGGGAGTGGGTCAGACACACTGAATTGGGATAAACTTTTGAAAAGGACTCAATTTGAATATGGCAATACAACCAGAACGAGATTTGGGGTTTCCCCCCCCCAAGACTCACCCACAATGGTCATGTTGCAGTTTAAGGTGATAATGAGAAACCCCAACAAGTCCAAGTTCTCCATGCTTGCAGAAAGCCACAGGCCTGGGCTGCTGGAGGGTTGAGAGGTCTGTGTACCCCAAGGATGTTTAAAAAAAAAAATCAATACATTTTTTTTCTACATCAGACTTCAAGGTGAGTGCCAAGCTGTGGAAATAAAGATGTGCTCCCAGGCCTGGCAGGTCAGGTCTCCCGTCTCCACACTGAGGCAGCCCTAAGCTGCTTGCCAATGAGACACCACCCCAGACAACTGTGGGGCTCGGGAGCAGGAGTCGTCTCTCTGTGTGGCTATTCTTACCCTCCCAGGACATTCCAGGCTGCTGGCTGTGCTTACATGTCTCCATCAGGAGAGCTAGGCACTTTGGGATGCAATGGAAACAGCTACTTTTAACCCGAGAAAGAAAACTTCAATTAATTAGCCAATGAACTGTTTCTATATGGGAGCTGGGGAGATGGCTCAGTTGGTAAAACATTTCCTGTATGAGCATGAGGACCTGAGCACAAACCCCAGCACCCACATAAAATGCCAAGCATGGTGGTGCATGCTTTTAATCTAAGTGTGCAGGCACAAGATTAAAAACTCACTGGCTGACACGACTCATGGAATTGGTGAACCCCACGTCCTAATGAGAGATGCTGCCTCAAAAATCAAGGTGAACAGCCCCTGAGTACGACACCCAAGGTTGATGTCTGTGGTAGTTTGGCTGGTACTAACCCCCATAGGCTCGTAGGTTTTAAATATTTGGTCCCTGGTTGGTGGAACTGTTTGGGAAGGACTAGGCAGTGTGGTCTTGTTGGAGGAGGTGTGTCACTGCGGGTAGGCTTTGAGGTTTCCAAAGTCTTTTCCATCCCCCATTAGTTCTGTGTCTCTGCCTCCTGCTTGTGCATCAGAATGTAAGCTCTCAGCTATGACTCCAGCACCTTGCCTGCCTGCCTGCCGCCATGCTTCTTGACATGATGGCCATAGACTCTAACCCTCTGGAACTGTGAGCCCCCAATTAAATACCTTCTTTTATAAGTTTCCTTAGTCATAGTGTTTCATCGTGACAATAGGAAAGACAATGTCTGACATCCATATGCATACACACATGTGCACGCATTTGTACATTCATGGCACTTATGTACACATGAACACACAAAACCATTTCCTCCTTCAAAACATGTCCACAGCCACTTGTGAAGGAAGTCCTAAAATGTTCATTTTGCCCTTTCTATATAGCATAACCATCGCTACTACTACCCCACAGCCCACAAAGATCTTGACCTTATTGCTAATTCCTGCATCACTGAGGTAAGCACAGATCTGCACCTCAGTGTGGATGCCAGGTCTAGACTATGACTTGGGAAGTCTTCACTGATAGAACTCCAGCTGTCCCCTACCTGCCAGAGAAGTCACTGTTTCTCTCCCCACAGCCTCATCCTGAAATGAGAAGACTCAGTTTATATATATTATATATATATATAATATGTTTTATATGATATACATCATCTGTTTTATATGATAGATATATATAGTCCCACAGTGCAAGTATCAAGAAAACAAGAATGTCTTTTTGTCCACACAGGCTGCTCTTGATGGTGTTTTTAAAATAGAAAAACCTCAAAATAATTATTGAGATTTTCTGTGGGACAGAGCTGAGGTTCCAGCTCCCCAGAGAGCAAAAATGCCTATAGTTGTGGAGAAAAAAAAAGACAGTGAGGACAGACATGGACTTGGAGGAGAAAAAAGCAGAAGGGTCAAGGGTGGATGAGAGGCAGGCTGGCTGCTTAGAAGGCAGTGCAGAAGGAGAAACTGTAGCAGAGTGTTTTCAGGTGTGTTACTTTTGTTTATGCTGCATTTGTTTAACTCTGTGAAGCTTCACAGTAGCTGTGCTACTGTGTCTGTCTAAAACACCTGATGGTCTAATAGAGAACTGGCCAATAGCAAGGCAGGAGAAAGGACTGGAGGCACTGGCAGGCAGAGAGAATGTATAGAGGGAGAAATCTGGGAGGAGAGGAAAGCTAGGAGCCAGAGAAGGAGGAGGACATCAGGGGCCAGCCACCCAGCTACACAGCCAGCCATGGAAGGAGGAGTAAGAGTGAGATTTACAACAGAAAGAGAACGGAAAAGCCCAGAGGCAAAAGGTAGATGGGATAAATTAAGTTAAGGAAAGCTGGCTAGAAACTAAGCCAAAATAAGGCCGGGCATTCATAAGTATGAATACATCTTCGTGAGTGATTTACTGGGGAGCTGGGTGGCGCCCCCCCAAAAAAGAAGAGAAAAAAACAACGACCAACAAGAAACGGCTGAGAAGCCAGGAAGCAGCCTGAGAGGGGCCTTCCATCAAGACCTCGTGATGCTTGACAGTTTAACTACGTTTTTCACGCCCCCAATCACATTTTCACAGGATAGCTGCTTTGAGAAGATGATACATTTTTCACATCTGTGATTTGAGGATAATGAATCTCAATTAAGGGCGAAGAATAAGAGATAATATAAATAAGTTTCTAGAATATTATTTGGCCTATAGGAGGCTCTTAAAAAATAAATGCAGTCATTAGATCATAATGGAATAAAACCAAACATCAACAGCCAGAAAAAAACTACAGAAAAATATCCAAACACAAAGAAACTGAACAATTCACTTTTGAATCACCAGTGGGTTACTGAATAAATGGGGAGTGAAATTTAAAAATGGACAAATTTATAGTAGTTATGGCCTCTACAGTTGCCACAAACATTGACTTTATGAATGGGGACTGCTTGAGGGAAATGCGGGGCTCTGGATTAGCCAGCTTCCATTTACAGTAACAGATACCCAACATAACATTGAAGGGAAGGTTTCTAACCCATGGTCTCCATCCATGGTCACCTGGTCCTCTTGCTTGGGGCCAGTGATAGCATAAGATTTCACAGCGGGAGCATGTGGTGGGGGAGACTGCTCATCTTGTAGTAGCCAAGAAGCAGAGAAAGAGGGAAACCAGAGCCCAAGACTTCACTATCACCCCAAGCATACCCTCAATGACCTAACTTCCTCCCACTAGACCCCATCTCCTAAAAGTTCTATTATCTGCCAATAGCACCACAGACAAGTAATCAAGCCAATTGCACTTGGGTGAGTCTTTGAGGGAATTCCAGGTTAAACTAAAGCTGGTTCCTGTTAACCCCTGGTTGTAACATTTCTTCCACCAAAATGTTTTGTGTGTGTTTTATTGGCACACACACACACACACACACACACACACACACACACACACACACACCTTTTATATGTTTAATAGATATTGTTAGTTCACTTACATAAACTCATGGCCCATTGTACCCATACTACTCCATGAATGAAGATGAGCTGACACCTATTCCTACCCTGGGAGGCTCATCACATGCTTCTCATCATCATGTCCTGAATGATGCAGGGTTTCTCTAGTGACAGAACATTTCACAGCCTGGTTGTGTATGACCTGAGAACCCAAGACACAAGACACTCACAATCACCAAAGATCTGCTCATCTGGGGCTGGTTCATCAGTTAAGAGCCCCTTTCGGAGAACCTGAATTAGTTCTCAGCACCCACATTCTTGTTCACAATCAGTTGTTAATTCCAGTTTCAGGGATCCAGAGATCCAATGCCACTTTCTGGCCTTTGTGGGCATAGACATACACATGGCGCACATACATACATGCAGAAATAGTCATACACACAAAATAAAAATAAATAAATCTTAAAAAGATTTCATACAATATATTGTGATCATATCCCCCCACTCCTGCCAGAGCCTTTTCACCACCCTAACCATCCAACTTTGTTCTCTGTCTTTCTCTCTTAGAAAGAGAAAGACAGAGAACGAAAAGCAAAAGACAAAAAAAATCAAAACAGACAAACTCTAAAAAAGAAAATCAACAAGACAAAACATACCCAAAAAAGTATGAAAACTGTTTTGTGTTGACCAACTGCTCCTGGCATGAGGCTTATCGTAGGATGCAGTTGATTGACCTGGTGACACTTTATTAAAGAAGTTCATCGATTAAACATCCCATTTAAGGCTGAGAGATCCAAAGTCTCTAAGTATCTGCACCCTGTCCAGTTGTGAATCTCTTTGTAAATTATCATCTACTTTGAGAAGAATCTTCTCTGACAACAGCTGAGTGACGCTCTGGTGTGTGGATATAGCAGTACATCCTCTGGAGTCATTTGTTGCTATGCTCCTTTAGAAAAACAGTAGGTTTTTCCCCAGGCCCAGAATCTGTCTAGCCCCAGGTTCTGGCCACTTTAGCAGTGTCAGGTAAGGGTTCCATATCATGGAGTGGGCCTTAAATTCAATCAGCATCTCTCT